TGCTCTTTGTTAGACCATGAGATCCTTACAGAAAACTGTACCTCGCACAGAGAAAAAATGCAGTTCTGTTTCTCTGTGTTGTACATGCATGAATACATTAAGCAGTCTGTCAGTTACCCTGACACTTCTCTTTCCTCCCTATCTGGCTAGGCTGGGTATAGAGCCTCAGTCTCTCTACCTTTGAAATGGGCATGTCAATATCCACCTTCACAGGATGGTGGTTCAGACTGAATGAGATATGTCAGACCTCCTGGCTCAAAGTCTGTGCTTGTCTAATGGTTCCTCAGCAGGGTATTAGGGGCCAGAGTTTTGCTTTTGTTTTGTTTTTTGAAGCAGCAGGTGTAAATTTTTATTGTGATAAAAAGTAGGATAATATATTCTCCAAGTCAACATCTTTTACATGCGCAGTTCAGCGACAGTGGTTTATGGTTTTCGCATTGTACACCATCAGGCACCGTTCATTTCCAGATGCTTCACCACCATTACAGAAACTCAGTGCCCCCTAAGCTAAGACCTCTTCCTTTCCCCTTCCTCCCATGGGGGCCCAGTTTTTAAAAGGTTCCCTTTGCATTGTCAGGAAAAGCTGTTTCTTCTCATGTTTTTCGAAGTGAGCAGGCATGGGACAAGAAAAAGTAAAGAGAGATGAGGCCGTTGGGTTCGTTTTCATAAATTGGCTGGAACCTTCCAATGTACCATGCAATCAGCATTCCCCGCAGGGACCTAGCCTGGCCAGCCTTCTGGAAGACTAGCATTCGGAGCCCAGCCCCAAGGCAGGCTCTGAGTTGGTGTCTGCTCCTCAGGTCTACTGGGTACATAACACCCTGTCAAATCGATTAGGAAACCAGCAGAGCCGCTCATGAAAGGCACCATTTACCAGCCCCCCAACATCACCACCACCTCTGCAGTTACAGAGCAAATCCCCCTCAGAGGTCTAGTCTGTTTCTGGTCAAATCCCTGCTCCAGCCCAACCCTGGGAATGATGGAGAAGGAGGCCAGTGAGTGAACCGGAGGAGGGAACTCAGAGAGAGACGAAAATCAAAGAAACCAAAACAAATTGCTGTGGAGTCGATTCTGACTCGTGGCAACCCCGTAAGTACCCACAAGCCTTCTCTGTGAGGTGCCTCTGGATGGACTCGAACCAGCAACCTATTTAGCTTAATAGTCAAGCTCTTAACTGTTTGCCCCACCCAGGGACTCCACTACAGACTAAGAAGGAAATCATTGTTAAGAAATTCAAATAATTTTTCAAAAACTATTTGATAAAGACTATATTGTTAGGTGCAGTTACATGGGTGCCAATGCATTTGTTGTTGTTAGGTGCTGTCGAGTTGGTTCTGATCCATAACGACCCTATACACAACAGAGTGAAACACCATCTGGTCCTGCGCCATCCCCATAGTGACCCTGTATACGATTCCCAGGGCTGTAAATCTTATAGGATCAAAAAGCCTCCTCTTTAAAGGTCCTGAGGAGCAGCTGGTGGATTTGAGCTGATGACCTTGCTGTTAACAGCCCAGCGCATAACCCACTATGCCCCTGGATCAGTAGCATATGGCAGGTTTTCACTTCTGCTTATCCCACCTTTGCCTTCCCTCTTGGTATCTTCCATCAGCCCAGTATGTATCCAACATGGATTAGGCACCAGGTACCAGGCCAGGGACTCAAAGGGGAGGAGCCGGGACTACAACAATGAGTGAGACCCAGGCTCTCCCCTCAAGAATGCATTCCCATATTTAATTGGCAGACACAGAAATGTTTCAATTAGCAAGTAACTCCTTTGGGGAATGAGATATCCCGTGTATGCAACTTTTCTCAGTAACTGAATGAAGCTCATCCTGTTAAGCTTTGGAAGGTTTTGTTTTGTCTTGTTTTAAAGGAACCATTTTGAATAAAAGTTTCCGTAAATCCTTTGCCAGTTACCAGACTGCATGAGGACAGTGTGTGTTGTTGGAATGCTGGTCTGTACATTACCAGGCTCTATAGACACATGTTCTTCTTTGATCTCCTCAAATGACCGAGCTCTTGAGCAAGGTGAGCTGGCTTTCCCATGCTCCCACAGCTAGGAATTGTAAACTTCTAAAGAGGTTCAAGAGATCCACAAGAAATCAAAGGGTGAATGGCTAGCTTCTTTTGGTTTGGTTTGGTTTTCATTGGAGGCAAAATTACTTAACGTAAAATTCAACACCTTAAAGTGAATAATTCAGCAGCGTGCAATACACTCATGTTGTGAAGCCGTGACCTCTACTCGTTCCATCCATCACTCCAAAACCAAACCCCATACGCAATCACTAATCACTGAAGAGTTACATGATATTAGTTCTTCCTTCCCGGGAGCCCTGGTGGCACAGTGATTAAAGTATTCAGCTGCTTACTATGCATGAGAGAAAGATACATGCTTTAATCTAGATTTACAGCCTTAGAAACCCTGTGGGTTAGTTCTCCTTGGTCCGGTAGGGTCACTATGGGTCCGAATTGAATCAACAGCAGTGGGTTTTTAAAATGGAAGTTCTTTCTTCAGGGGTAAAGTGTCATTTGGGTGGAACCTTGCTTGTTTCCCATTGGAGACTATAGTCTCTGATCTTCATTCGTAAGTCCTTTAAGTCCTCTGCACTTGCAGCAAGCAAGGTTGTGTCATCAGCTTATTACAAGTTGTTCATGAGTCTTCCTCCAATTCTGATGCCACACTCTTCTTCATATAGTCCATCTTCTCGGATTATTTGCTCAGTGTCCAGATTAAATGAGAATGGTGAAAGATACAACCCTGATGCACATCTTTCCTGATTTCAAACCATTTAGTATCCACTCTTCTGTTCTAACTGCCTCTTGGTCTATGTACACTTTCCTCATGAGCACTGTTAAGAGTTCTGGAATACCTGTTCTTTTCAATGTTATCCATAGTTTGCTATGCTCCACGCAGTCAAATGCCTTTGCGCATAGTCAATAAAGCACAAATAAACAGCTTTCTGGTATTCTCTGCTTTCAACTAAGATCCATCTGATGCCAGCAATGATACACCTTCGTTGCACATCCTCTTCTGAAATCTGGCTTGAATTTCTGGCAGCTCCCTACAACCGTTCTTGAATTATCGTCAGCATGTGACATTAATAGTGTTGTCTGATGCTGTTCACATTCTCTTAGGTCACCTTTCTTTGGAATGGGCACAAATATGAGTCTCTTCCAGTTGGGTGGTCAGGTGACTGTCTTCCAAATTCCTTGGTATAAATGAATGAGCATCTCCAGTGCTGCACCCTTTCTTGAAACATTTCAGTTGGTAGTCCATCAATTCCTGGAGCCTTGTTTCTCTCCAGTGCCTTCACTGCAGCTTGGACAATTCAGTTCAGTACCATTAGTTCTTAATACGCTGCCTCTTGAAATGGTTGAACATCGACTATGTCTTTATGGATGCTTCCTTTGTCACTTGATATTTTGTCTATAAGAATCTTTCAGTCTTGGAAGTTGAGTTTTTTCTTCATTTGTTTTCTATTTGAGCAATATTGATAAACCCTTCTGGTTTTCTAAGTCCAGGTCTTTGCACATTTCATTAGAATACTTTACTTTGTCTTCTTGAGTAGTCCTTTGAATATTATCTGTTCAGCTTTTACTTTACCATTTTTTCCTGTCACTTTCTCCTCTCTATGTTCAAGAGCAAGTGTCAGAGTCTCTCTGACATCCATTTTCATCTTTTCTTCCTTTTCAGTCTATTTAATGAACTTTTGTTTTCTTCATGTATGGTGTTCTTGATGTTATCCCACAACCCCTGTGGTCTTCTGTCATTAGTGCCTAATGCATCTTATCTGTTCTTGGGATATACTCAATGTTGTATTCTGGCTCTCGTGAACTTGTTTGAATTTTCTTCCACTTTAGCTTACCCTTATGAAATCAGGTGGAAGGGGAAGGTGACATCTTAGGCTTGTCTCAAAGGAGGACATTTTGCTTTGTACTCTTAAACTTAATACCTCTAAAACCTAATGCCTGTTACTGTCGTCTTAAGCCTGAAGACTTACAGAGCTTAAAATTTTGAGAAAAATGAGAGACCGTTCTTGGGAACAATGCTCTGGATTTTCTGCCAGGACTAACATAAGTCAACTAACCTGTTTCCTCATCTGTAAAGTAGGCATTATAATACCCATTTCACAAGACTATTGAAATGATCCAACGACTTAGTGTACCTGTTTCTCACTTACCAACTATCTCGTTACCTGACGTTTCACATACAGGACAGTTGTAAAATACCTACTATCTATTTTGTACATTAATGCTGTATATTTGGTAGTAATGAATGCTGAGGTGACAGTAATGCTGCCTGTGATGGATAAGATTATGTGTCCAATTGGTTGCACCATGATTCTCAGGGGTTTGGCAGTCATGTGATGATGTAATCTGGCATTGATGCAATAATGTGGTCATCTTCCATTCCGATATGACACTGATTTTTGCATAATGACCTGGTCTTTGGAACATAACCATGTTGATAAGTGAGGAGTGGATGTAGATGTAGAATGTTTGGTAAGGTTGCTGGCCAGCGAGTCTCCAAGTAAATGATAGCTGATGAGTAGGAATATGATGACAGTGATAACAAATACAGACTGATGGGGGAAACTGGAAGCCCACAGCTGAGCTGAGAGAACAAGAGTGAAAGAAAGAATTAGCTTCTCTCCAGGCTTAATTTTCTGGAGGTCAGAGATTGCCTTTTACTGCTCTATCTACCCCACCCATCTACATTGGCCAGAGTTTTCTAAACCATTGGTATGTCCAACCACCCATCCATCATCCATCCACCAACCCGTCCATCCTCCGTCTTCCCATTTATCCAACTATCTGTCCATCCATGCATGTATACATCCATCCATCCACCCACCCACCCCTTCATCCATCCCCCAACCCATCCATCTTTTCATGTGACTACTCACCTATCCATGCATCCATCCATCTCCCCATCCATCCATCCATCCATCCATCCATCCATCCATCCATCCACCCTCTCTCTTTCTCCCTTACAGGTTAAAGTGCCACAACAAATGCACCAAAGAAGCCCCACCCTGTCACCTCTTGATCATCCATCGAGGTGGTAAGTATATAGCACTTGCTGCCCCAGGGATGAGAGTAGGATGGAACGCAGGCAAGCCATCCATAATAGCTGTCCCACCCAGGCCCATTCTGGGTACCTCCTGGCCCCCTGATAGTTTCCTATCTTATTTCTACCCCTTTACAACCTTGTTTTGATAGCTGTCTTTTTATTCCCATTCCCCATATCTGTACTCCTATTCTGGCCCCTGTACTGGTCCCTGATACTTATCCTTGATATTTTAGCCCCCAGGTTCTTCTTCCCATCCCTAATTCCTGTTTTCTCATTCTTATCTCCCTTCCTAATTCCCACTCTCCTCTTTCCTCCAATCCCGTTGCTTTTCCTTCTCACTCAAAAGGGGTGCCTTTTCCAGTATCTTTCCAGATGTGTCTTCCAAGGACGTGTTTTTCAGACCTGTCAGTTGTCCCTGCAGATGGGCATAGGGGGTTATCTGGCTGTGTCCCGTCTCCCTGGGGCTTTGGGAGTATCTGTGCAAACTTGTCCAGGCAGAGAGGTACCTACAAGGCTTGCAAGAGTCACCACCAGCTTTCCACCATGCAGACACAAGCCCAGTGGTGCGGAGCTAGAGGGAAACCCGGGAGGAGGGCTCTTTGGAAAGGCTTATCATCCAGCTGTCTGGATTCTTGGCCTGTGGGCTAGTTACCGCCAGACCCCACTGGCCACTGTGAGCATCCCTCCGCCAGGGACCTCTCCAGGCCTGCACACATCAGACCAGTAGCTACTAACCACATGTGAATATTGACGTCATTACAGTGAAATGTAATACAAATTCATTTACTTGATGATGTTTCAGGGGCTCAGTAGCTAGCTGTATGTGTCTAGGTGGCCAAATACAGAGCACTGTCATCCTTTGCAGAAAGTTCTGTTAGGTCATGCTGGTCTAGCCCCTTACTAGAAAGTGGGGTGTGCAGACTAGCAGTATCAGAAGTACCTGGGAGTTGTTGAGAAGTACATCATCTCCAGTCCCAGGCCCACCCGAGTCCATTCACCAGCTAGTTCATTCTGACTCAGGGTGACACCATGTGTTTCCGAGTAGGGTTTTCAGGGGTCTGACTTTTCAGAAGCACCAGGTCTTTCCTCAGAGCCACTTCCAGGTGGGTTCGAACTGCCAACCTTTATCCATTTGTGCCACCCGACCGAATCAAACCCTACATTTTTCATAAGACTCACAGGTGATTCCTATGCCCTTTAAAGTTTCAGAAGGCTGGGCCTAGGGTGGGAGTTGAAAAGTCAGACATCTTATAGTCAAGCAAGACCCTAACTGAGAGAAGCCGGGGGGTGGGGGGCGGGCAGGGGCAGGTGGCCAACCAGATACCATCTCAAGAGGACAGTGTGGTCCTGTGCTGCCAGCTCTTCCCATTTTTCAAAGAAAAGCTCAAATAAAACATTCAGTGTAGCACTGCTGGATACGCCCTGGATGGTTAACTACAGGGTTTAGGCTTCAAACCCACCAGCCACTCCTTGGAAACTCTTTACAGTGTCGCTATGAGTCTTAACCGATTCAACAGCACTTAACAGCAACAACAATCCTTACTTTTCAACTTCAGCCACTTCCTAAAATATTTTAATCTCTTGTCAACCACCTCCCGACCCCACCCCATTGGTGAGCTGTCTGTGGTCTGAGAGCTGCTCGCAGCAACTGGTAGACTAATAACATGATAGCCCTATGCTGAGCCCTTCTTCATCATCCTTCCCCAGCATCCTTGTTGCCAGCTCTGGGAACTGGCCTTGTTTGAGAATTAACCCAAAGAGAACGTGGTGTGCCCCAGAGCCAAAGGGCAGCTGGCTTCCTATGATCCCGAGGCTGTTTCTCTCTGTGAGAAGCACAAACTGCAAGTAGAGGACATCTTTGGTTCCCTCCTCCCGGCCCTTCCCAGCCCACATCCTTGATTAAGAGCCATCTGTTCCTCGACTAACTCTACACACTCAATGAGGCTATTTTAAAACCTGAGACCTCATGGCTCCTCAGCCTCTGCCTCCTTGGGGGTCTCACTCTCCCCCACCCCCAATTCCTCTCTGTACTAGATTCTGTTCGAGCGACTCCCACGTACAGATGGGAACCAGGGCCTGCTAGAAGGTCTTCCTCCCAGCTCTCCTCATGGCCATACCCCTTTGCTTAAAGGCAGTAGGCAGCCAGCAATGCAAAGAATCAGAACTTTCCAGAGGCCTCCCCCACCACCACCACCACCCCCACCCCCCAGCTTCTTGCTTTATCCTCTGTCAGGAGCTAGTAGGAAATATCATCAGTTTCCTTGGTGATAACAGAACAGGCTAAGCAGAAAAATCCAATCCCTGGGTCAGTGTAAAGCTAAAGCTTTAACTTCTGAAGCAACGCCTCCCCACTCCTCCGCAATTTCAAACAATTAAGCAGCAGTTCTGACTCAGTGGTGGGACTGTCGACTTGTATGGAGTTCAAGTTCCAACCAGTGAGCTTTCCACACAACTATTAGCCATCTGTTAGTAATGTCTTGCATGGAGTTCAAGTTCCAACCAGTGAGCTTTCCACACAACTATTAGCCATCTGTTAGTGATGTCTTGCATGGAGTTCAAGTTCCAACCAGTGAGCCTTCCACACAAC